TCTTAACTGACTCAATCAGTGTCAGTACAACTGAACATTGTCAGCTTGAGATGGCTACTCTCTCCTTCTCCACTCCAAAAAATATATTCAGCCACTCTGGCATTCTCCAAAAGCATTTTTCAGTCCAGATTCAGACCTTGGATAATGGTTCATCTTCTAAAAATAGAAATACAGCACTGTAGAACTCTTCTGCTGTTTGCGCTGGTATCTTGTAAGCGTGATCCAGCTATATTGACCCCAGTCAGCTGTTTCTGTCTATAGCTACAGGGTAGCTTTCCTCAATGTTCTTCTTTCTCCTGTAGATTTTCTTGATTTCCTTCTGTTCTTACTGTGTTTTGGCTTTTCTGCTCTTCTCTGCTGCCTCAAGATCCATTATGGGGAGCCCTGGCCAATATAGGGTTTGGAAGTTATGGGGCATTGAGTGGCCTACTCTAAACTGTCTGCTTTGGTGATAAGGCACCTCTCTCTGCTGGATCTGGACTACTTACCCTATACAATCCCCACTTGCATAGTGTAACCCACACACCTCCTGGGTGTGGTGCTTTGTCCCCTCTAGTGGCACCGAGACCACTTAGATATTAATGAGTCTGTCTCAGCCTTAGCTAAGGGCCCTGTGGCTTTTGACTCATGCAGTAGAGGCTCATGCATTCAGCTCGAGGTGCCAGGTTCGATCCTGTTTGCTGTGACCGGGATCTGTCGGTTTTACAATAGCTCATCATCACTATGGGGGAAGAAAAAGCCAAAAAGCTAACAAAGGTAGAAAATTAGCAACCTCCCCTCAGCAACAGTTATCCCCTGATTCCTTTTGTGTTACTTCTAATATATGCAGGCTATTCTCTCTTTTCCATTTAAACTCTGAGCCTGATCCTCTTCCCCTAAACTGGGGCATTCCTCTGGCTATCCTGCCCTGTGCAATTTCAACTAGTTAGCCAAGGGAGCACTCTCATCCTTCTCTTCCTGTTCTTTCACCCATCATCTTTTTCAAGCTAGTTTCTCCCTTTGCTGGTACCTTGATGTCTTTTGTGACAGACTGCAAATCATCCAAGTTCTCCACCTATGCTAGAAATAAAACGGAGTTTAGTACCCTGACCCAACAAAAATAGCTAAGAATGTGCATACATGCACACTAAATCGGAGACTTCAGCGAAGAAGATTTTTCCTTCTTTTTCCTTTGAAGAGGTTGAAGTTTCTTCTTTATCTTTTTGGTCCTCTTTGAATTGGTGGATTTTTAAAAAATCACTTTTAAATGAGTGCAGTGGTGATTAGGGACTACCATTCAGCAGTCACTAGAGATGTGTGTTGACTTACTCTGAAAAGAGTAGTTTCATTAGGGTTTGTCATGAATTTCAGAAAAAAGCATGGGAAGACAGAGAAGATGTTTAAGCTAATCCCCCTGAAGAGGATGATTGCATTTCTCAGTTAATAAAGACTCTTGTTCTTGTAGTCTGGGCAGCTGCTTCCAAAAATCTAGCCAGTAAGCAAATAGAACATTACTGGAAAAAAGATTATGAAGCTCTTGTAACAGACTTAAAGGATTTTGTAGTGATTGTTACCATAGTTCAGATATCCCCTTGATGAAACTTTTTAAAAGGCTAACGCCAATCTTTAACAGAATGAAATAAAAGGATGAAAGAATTTCATTTGCAGTACTCTTTGTAATATCATTCGTTTCTCTTACTGGAGGTGTGACTTTGCTTTAGTTCCCAGAAGAATTATTTGGCTTTGATACTGGACATTTTTCAGGGTCTTAAAGATTCATGGAGGCTCCCTTTGTTCTGAAGAAAGCTGCTCTGAAAAAAGATGCTAAACTCATTCCATTCGTAAATATCTGGGTGTCTCCCAGTTGTAATGGAGACAGCCCATTTGTCCCACCAGGGCCAACAGGTATTTATCATTTCTGGTTTTCTGTGTATTGGGAACAGTCTTCCCCTAAAATGAGGTCCAAGAAGTGACAATGAAGGCTTGTCATCCCAAGAGGACTGCTTGTAAAAGGCAAGCATTGCTGTTTCTTCTAAGAATGGGACTGAACTATTACAGACAGATGGTCTCTATAGATTATACAGTCTACTGGCTTCCAGGGTTCCTCTATACTCCCCTCCATTGTAAATGAAGTCCTCCCTTCCTTCCAGTTCAGCCAGGAGACGGTCTTTTTGTTTTGAGCTACCGTTCAGAACCTTTAGGCGCCTTGCAGCACTCCACTTTTTCCAATATTTCTGAGGCAAATGCTTTAGGTATTTTAATGTATTAAAAAAAAACCAACAGGAGGTTTTTGATGGGTACTAGGTCTTTACCTTTCAACTGCTCAGTGAAAATATCTCTTTTCCACAGACTCTTTTCTGCTTATTTGGGAAATTTCTACTCTGTACTGTAGGTATAAAAGCATTCCTTCCTACCCCTGTACTATCTCAATACAGTTACCTCTGTTTCATTATTGTCCATATGCATCACTAGTATGTTGCTCTTTCTTTTCTGCTACCCATCCCATCATGTGTGTTTCATTCTTTCAGTCAGAAACAGTGCCTTTTTTTGTAAATCTATTGCTGTGTTTCACTTGGTGAACTTGCAAAACAAAATTGCTCTCAAGCAAATAACTTGAAGAGCCCTTTGCCATCAACATCTTTGCCACTGTGGGATTTTCTTTGCCACTGTGGGATTTTGTGGCTGGTGAAATATGTTACATAGATTCAGTGAAGGGAAATGGTCATCAGGCAAGTCTCCTTTGCTATAATCCTTTAACCTTGATGATCAGTTTAATAGTTAAACTATTCCTTCCTCTATATCTAGCCCATTTTGGTAGAATACAACAATGGAACCTGTAGGTTACTGAAATCTTCAAAGGAAAATTAAAAGTGACCTCCCCTGGTATGAAGTCTTCAAAATTTTCTACTATTCAAAGGCCATGGCTTCATAATGTTTGGGAGAAATATGGGCAATTGAATAGACTGGCTCAGCTGTCAAACTCCAGACCCTGGCACGTGGGAATTCAAAACACAGTAGAAAATATTTTTTTAGGCTTCGCTGAGGTATGATACCCATTAGTTTCTGTTATTAACAGGAAACTCCCAAGGAAGTCTTCAGGTGGTGTTGCTCTTGGAGTTCCTCTTACTATTTTCCTTTGCTTTCCCTTTTATTCTTGACGTGTTTTTTGGTACATGATGATGTGACTCAAGTTTGGCAGCTGTACTCTGCCTGAGAATGGGGGCAGTCCTATTTGCCAGTTTCATATGAAAATATCAATGTACAATCTGAGTTCCCTCCCTCTTCTCCATCTTTTGACTTTTTCTCTCTAAAGTTTTTCTTTTACTAGACTTTTTTTTAAGAAGTATTTCCTAAGGTCACATTACTTATCCAACGAATCACCAGTTCATGTGCCTCGCAGAAGAGTTCTGCAGTGCTACCTCTGTATCTTCTAGAGAGTGGAATGAACCACTCTTAGCTGAACATCTTGGAGAGTCTTATAATTTGACATTGTCTTTGTTAGCCTGAGAGGTGAAGATTACTGCATGCGTGGTGGTGAGATAAGCTTTCCTTTTGCTGAAACCTTCTACTAGCAGTTTCACAAAGGACTTTCAGACCTTTAAAAACATATACAAGGAAAGAATAACTGAAAACATTTCATACCCCTCAAGACTGTGTGAATATATAAATACTTCATTATAATACACAACTTGGATCCTCCTCATCTTTGTGGTACTCACACATTGCACCTCTCAAGATACTACTTATATAAAGTGCATTATTATATGTATTGCCAAATAGTAGTGTTTATATATAAATATATAAAATATTTATATAAATATATAAAATTTCTGCAAAACTATTCATCATACATACTGTTGTATTACTATTCACAACATTTTTGTATCTTCAGCTACAATGCTAATCTTAGTAAAGTGGTTTGCTACTTGGTTTAATAATGTGTTTAATTTAGTTCTGTGAATAAATTAGTTGGAGAAGCAGAGAGGGAGAGATGAAACAATTTCAACACAGTGGAATGGTGGCAGTTACTGGAATTTAAGTACCTACAGATTTTTCTTTAGTGCTCACAATTTTTTAAAATATAGTCTTTGTCATCCCCATTAAATCCCTAATTATGACTTATATGAAAACTGCTTTCTTTGGAGAGAGGACTGTAATATACATTCAGGATTTCATTAATAGAAATAGAGCAATTTTGAGAATGGTCTAATGTTTTAACATTGAGTTAGACTTGAGACAAACATAATATTAAATTGATCTCATTTTTAAAAGCTGAAGGGATTTTTTAATTCAGGTGAATTCTCTTGTCTCAATGAATGAATGAATTACTTACACTGATCAGCTTTCAATTGGTAAAACACAAATGCAGAAATCAACTAATATGTTAAGAAATACAGTATAGTGTATTAAGTATAAACTTAATTGTTTAAGTTGCAGTAGCAAATACCTAGAAACATACTGATGCTTTAAAATTTTAATACTGCATTTTGGTATTTGAATAGGCTCTTTTGTAATGTTCAAACAGCTGAGCACAAGTAAGTAAATGCTAGCGGGAAAATGTTTTATTATTTAATATGAGAACAGAGGGTAACTAGTTTATTTGCTAAAAGCTACAATTTCTTGAAGTTGAATCTTTTGAACTATACAAATATTCCTGCTTCATGTGTTAACTGAGGGACAAATCAACTTTTAACATTCTTGTTTCCTGTCACATTAAGACGCATTTTTTTATCATAATGGTGTAGCCAAATGTTTTTAATTTCATCTGAATGCTTTTGGCCACATATGTTTAGGCAGGAAAGAAGTTGAGAAAAAGCATGCAGTTGCATGTTTAACAAATCTTCACACTTGTTTTGAAACTTCACCTCTAAAACAAAAAGCTTTGAGTAGGTTTATTGTATAAATAACCCTACACCATTAAGTACATGACTTTTTATCCCTTGTTCAATTGCAGCTATGTTCAATTGCATTTTATCTCTGCTGCTCTTCCACTCTTATTTCACTCTTGACCCTATTTCTAGGAGATGTGCGAGTAAGAAGTCGGGCAGGATTTGAAACAGAAAGAAGAGGTTCTCATCCATACATTGATTTCCGTATTTTTCACTGTAAGTATTTGAAAGCAGATAAATGACAAATACATGAAGGCTTCCATTAATTCTAACTTCTGGGCCTCTAAAAATTAATGCTATAAGCTGCTTATGTAACAAGAAACTACTCTTGAACTTTTCAGAAAAATCTTTCCACCACTTCATCCTTTTTATCCCAAAAATAGCACAGAAGAATCCCAGTGCTCAGTATTACTTTATACTCTGAAAAGTATAGTTTAAACTTACGAACACATCAAGACTAGACACAGGTTTTTGAATGAAGTGAGGTATCATCTTGTATCCAGCAGTGGATGCACTTATTATTTGCTTGGAAGAGACAAGAAGAGTACTTTTCCAGCTTTTACAAAGAGTTAGATGGTTCTGGAAGTGGAGACCTTACATGTCGGATTAAAATGGAAAAGATCTGCAGTAGGTTTCGGTGTCCCTGAAGAGATCTTAATCTTCTGAAAGGCTCCATTAATTTAGCACATGCAGATAATGCTGAAAATGTGGATGGGAGGGAATCAAACCTAAAATGAAACTTAAAGCAGCATAAGAAAATAATGAGCTTAAACAATTTGTTTAATTGGAAATGTGTTAGGAAACATAATTAATCTTTAAAAAAAAAGTACTGTAAACTTCAGTCAGAATTTGACTTTTTCTTTTTTCATTTTTCTTATGACTAAACATGCCAGCACTATGGTACAAAAGGTGCAGTATCCACAAGATAGTCCAATGGTTAGAGCAGTGACCTAGGATGTGGGAGACCTAGGTTCAATTTGCTGCTCTGCCATAGACTTCCTGTATGACCTTGGGCAAGCCATTTAGCTTCTCTGTGCCTCAGTTCTCCTTGTGTAAAATGGGGATGATAATGATTCCCTATCTCATAGGGGTATTGTGAGGGTAATATGTTGAAAGATTATGAAGCATTTTGGGGTCTACTGATAAAAACAGCTGTATAAGAAATAGTCATTATTATTTATTTTTATTCACTATGACATGAACATTCAGTGAATATGCAGGTAATTTAAATTTTAACTCTTTAAAAATCACTAATAAATTAAATGTACAAATATGAAAGGTATTTTAAATGTCTTGTTACAAACTATCCATGTACATTAGTGTGACAGATATCAGTACAGCTCTGTGAATATATTTAAGTGCAATGGGAAAAGGTGGAAAAAATCTTCTGTTGGCTCTAATTAAAATGTGGCTGTTATAATGACTTAAATGAGAGTGGCAGAAAAGAAAACCCCAAACCTGTTCCAGTTATTCCCTCCATTCCACTAACTTATTTTTAAAGTACGTCTAATTGGTGGTCTAAAACCCTTAAAACTAGTTATTAAAGTTACACAAAACAAGTGAGAAAACAAAGTTTGAAGAGTATGAGGTACTGAATTCTCCAGTGAAGGGGAATTTAGACTTTGTCACAAAAGCATTTCTTTTAAAAATTGGTAATCCTCCCGATGTGCAGCAAAATAAGACATTGCAGAAGTAATATGCAATTTATTAATGTTAAATTTTAAAATACATTTTATGAATGCAAGTCATTGACATTCTTCACATTCTTATTGACAAATTGATACAAAGGGGGTACAGTTAAAAAAACAACACTTCTGTCTGGCATTGCTATCTAGATTTATGTACGGTGCTTATCACTGTGTCATCAGTCTAATATTTGTCCATCAGACAAGTCATGCCTCTGTTCACTCAGGCTGAGAACCCAACTTTTAGTAGCATTAAACTTGGTACCAAGAAATGTCTTGGCTACAACTTTTTCTTGAGCCAACTGTTGTGAGCTTTGTGTGTGCACAATTCCCCAGCCCTTCCTAGGAATGCAGGTGTGAGGCCAAAATGGGAAGGTGTACCTTGTTTCAGGCCCCGACCCCATGGAACAATTTTTTTTCCCCTATAATTCCCCTGCAAATGGGTGGATTCCAGCCCAGTTTTTCTTCACTTGTAATTCCGCCATGTATCAATTGAAAGTAAATCCTTCCTTCTTTCCTCTCTGCAGTCCTGTTCAGGGTTTTTCCCCACTCAGCCTTTTCAAGCAAAGGTGCACTGTACCTTACTACCAATTCAGTCTCTGGGGGAGACTATCTCTTCTTCTTAGCCCCCTCATTTTCTTTCTCTGGTGATTCTAGGAGGATTTTGTAGGAAGAATATCTGTATTTAGTGTCACATGACAAAAACCCTGAAAAATTTCCCCAATTGAATATAAACTACCATTCAAGAGGAGAAGGCAAGCTTGCCATCTTTTTGCCTTGGGCAAATTTGAAGAGAATCCTTCCAGTCCATTCTTCTATAATAAAGATGTTTGAAAACAGCTGTATTCTCTCTCCATCTGTTGCCACTAGGTGCCTTTATCACCCTCCTGAGAAGTTTCCTTCCATCCTCCCAAATCTGCATGTTTGATTGGACCTTTCATGGCTGAAGATAGGCTTGGGTTCACATCCCGCTCAAAAACAGCCAATCTTTCCTTTAAAGAGACTATCCTGTTTTTAGCATCAATCTTCTGAATCTGCTTAAACTGCAAGAATAAGTAGTGAGAAGAGTTTTTGACTTGGAAAGTACTCACATATATGGAATATAAGAGTTGCCAGACCTTTTTCTAAAAGAGGATTTAGCAGAAGTAGAATTGAAGATGGTATTTCAGGTTAGGGCATAACATAGATTTCTGTATAGGCATCATAACAGTTCACAATTATTTTCCTTGTCATTCTTTATCCATCCAAATGTTTTTAGTTTCCTTTTTTCACAACTTCTGAATGTTGAGCTATCCACAATCACATTCAGGTCTTTTTCCTGAATTGTTAATCAGTTTAGAACGCAGCAATGTGTATGACTGAATTATTCTTTCAAGGTTGTATTTGTCAACATTGAATTTGAACTGCCAGTTTGAGTTGCCAATTCAACTAGCTGCATTAGGCCTCTCTGAAGTTCCTCATCTTCTCTTGCATTAACTAACCTAAATTTTGTCATCTGCAAATTTTGCCATTATCATTACTTACTTATTTTTTCCATATCATATTAAATAATTACACTGGTCCTAGTTCAGAATTTTGGATCATCCCACTCTTAATCCTTTGCCGTAAAGACCTTTTATTGCTGCTTTGTTTTTTCTCTTAACCAGTTTGTTCTGTGACAATACTTCCTGTGATAACTTATGTTTCTTTGGTAGTCTTTTGTGAAAAATTTTATTTGAACTTCAAAACAAGCCTTTTAACAAAATGTCAACTTGTTCTTTTACCTGTTCTTTTCTTGACAGGTTCAAAGAATTCAAACAGTTTTAGAGGCACAATTTTCTTGTAGCAAATCTGCTGTGGTTTACCCCTATCAGAACATAATCATGTTTTATAATTCAACAGTTTATAATTGTTAGCATTTCAACAAGTTTGACCTGGTACTGAGGTAAAATTTATTGGCTGTAATTCTTGGGATCGCCTCTAGTTCCTCTTAAGAACAAGGAATAATAATAATAAAAAAAAAAGTACCACACTTGCTACTGATTGCACATTTTCCTTAGGAACTTAAAGAATGAAGTGGCGGAGATGCTAATTGATACACATGCCTATTACACCTGTACCTCTGCTGACATAAGAAACCCAGTCAGAAAAAGCCATCTGCAAGAACCTGTCAAAGTGCTTGGTGGAAGTTAATTTGTATGACATGTTCCAGGATTTTATTCTCCTTAAGGCCAGTTTATTAAGATTCTGCATTCTGACACACACTACCCTATGGATTTTGCTTTGGTGTCCTGGTGACATTTTTTGAAGATCACTCATATGTTACCTTTTCGGGTCCCAAATTCCTAGAAAAGATCCTTGTTTAGGACACCAGGTCTTGGGAAAGAGAACATCTCACTCTACCTTAGCTGCTGCTTCTTCATCTAGGCATTAACTCATCAGTTGAGCTGGGCTCTAGATCATGTGAGGCTGGAAGCATAGGCACAGGCACAACCACCCGTTAAAAGTTGGAAGTTGCGGGGAGGAGAAGAGAACAACAAAATGACTGCCTATCTTTCTGGAAAGTAGTCTTTTCCTTTAGTGTGCCTCATACGCTAAACCAGGGGCTCCCAAATTTTTTATTAAGGTAACCACCAACTGAATTTTGTTGTTGTGTAGTGCCCTTATGTATATGCACACTCTGTCCCTGCACTGCAAACCTAATATTTGCCCGGTGTGGAAGAGTAGATCCTGGGGTGGGAGCGGAGAATAGGAGGCTTGGAGAGCGAGTTCCCCCTGCATTGGAAGCTACTATCCCACAGGACTGGGCCCATCTTCCCACTCCATGTGTTGCCACCTGGTGCTTCGGGCCGCAGTGCCACTCAATTTGGCCTGGCTGCCCCACTGTCATGACTTTGTTTGACAGTCTTACAGAGCTACTAACTGTCCTTTTTGGTAAGAAGAAAGTCAGTTTAGATGGTCTTCAGAGGTTGTTATTGAAGTATTACTCTCTTCCCTTTAAGTAAAAACAAGACACTAAAACATGAAGGGAGGAAGAAAATAGTATTCTCTCTTGCTTTCTTGCTTGCAAAATAGCTGCTGGGAAATTGCAAGGCATAGCATGTGGCCGTATCAGGCACTCAGACATCTGGCAAACTCTGTTTAAGGCATTGTTTTTAGTTTTCCTTTCTGGTCATAGGTTCATAGCAGAGTTGCAAAAGGCAGATTTGTCTTGGACAGCTAAAACAGATTTCTTCAGAGTCAGAAGGCATAAAAAGAAGATGGGAAAGAGGAGAAACAAGGTGGTAAAGGAAAATGGAGCATGAGGGAGGAGGTGACAACAGTAACACAAGGTTCACATCTTTGGTATTTGATCAGGATTTAGTCAAACCTGATGGAGGTGACGGTGTAATCTGGCTCATTCTCTTTGCCCTGGTCTGATGAAGGCATCTTTCAGGATCAGGATGATGAAGGCCTAATGGTTTGATGGCAGATTCCGACGATGCAGCAGATACAGGATGTGTCTCCAGCCATGATGGTGAAGCCGAACTCCTTTCGGTCCACCTGCTGAGC